CCAAATCGCGGACTCATCAACACCCCCAACTTAAACTTTTGTTTGTCCTCAAGTAAAGCTCAAGTTCAGCAGTTCAAAAGGGATGTCTCTAACAGTGCTACACGAGACTCAATCGTGAATGCACACAAAAAGTCTCAACTTACTCATGCAAGGATCAATTGTGCACTCAAAGTTTCAAGTTGTGGCTCACCATTATCAAAGAATCTCAGGCTCATTATACTTGCTTCAAATGCAAGTTCAAGCTCAACAAAGGTATTCAAATGCCCTCACAAAATGAATGATTCCATATTCACTCAATGATTCCACCAATTAGAGTTCTGAAATCAAGATCAACACTCACACTCACAAAGATAAACACAATGCATGATTTCACCCATAGGTTTCCCCTTATTTTCCAATCAACTTTTTCTTCATCTCATTTAAGATCAAAATGGTATTTTCAAGGCTTGTAACGTGGTTGAGTGTAATGGTATGGTCATTCAGGCTTATAGGCTGAAAATTCTCATGAAATGTGATCTGAACAACACCTTATTTTCTTCTCTTTGTCATTTTCATTCAACCTCAAAAGTCATCTCTTATTCATCTTTCATGAGTCATTGGAAACCCCGTTTTATTTGTATTTCCACAACTTTATTTCACAACTTTTTCTTTCTTTTTCTTTTCTCTTTTTTTTAATATATTGAGGGGTTCCATTTTTCTTAAATCATGGGCATATGGGACTCCTTTGCATTTACTTCATTTGCTTTCTCTTTTCACCACACCCCCAACTTAGGCATTTAGCCTAAGTTGGTTATTCAAACAAAACACAGATCATGAGGATTACGGGTAATGGATCAAGAAAGGTTATGTTTTGTATCAAGTTTCTTCCAAGTAAAGGTTAAGGCTCAAAGGGTGTTCAAAAAAGATTCACACACTCTCAAGGTAGGCCACAAAAGAGGCATATGTCAAATTGGTTCACACCCTTTAACGTTACCTAAGATCATTTCAAGATTTCACATCACTTAGTCAACCAGACCAACAGGGCAAATTCTAGGTGTCATCACACATGGTTCACGGTAAGCTCATCACACAAGAAGCTCTTTCTGATGTTAAGTGTCCGCTGCTTTTTTCTAGAGTTATGAAATAATAGCTCTCTTAAGCACTTTCTGAAAGCACATTAGGTGCATAGCAAACATCACAAAAGGAAGAGACATTCTTTTTAAAAGGGACTAAAAGATAAAGTAAGACAAACAAATTCAAATAGAGGGAGTAAGTAATCTATGTCATATTGATGAACCTATTATTATTGAATATCAGGGAACAAAGCTCTTTGTACAAGCATTGACACCAAAGTTAAACAAGACTCCACACTTTCGCTAGTGTGCAATGTTCATTACAAGAGACTTTATTTGATACTTAACTAGTCACAACGAGATGCAAAGAGTTCACATACTGTCTATGCAACTTCAATTGTCTCGTCATAGCCGCACATTTATTTTTGTTCGAGCAGAGCACTATTTAAGTCATCAGTATTGATTAAACCGATACTCAAATTTAGCACAAGAACAGCCACATTCAACATAAACAAGAGGTGTTGTCAAAATGAGGAGGATGTTCGCTGAGGACACCAAGCAATAAAACATTCAACATTGTCCCCAATATGGGTAGAGAGCGAGTATTTATCACAAATAAGCTAAATATGAACAATAAATAAAAACTTACAAGAAATGAAAACAATCTAGTGTGTAAACAAGTAGAGCAGGGTCACGAGGAATCTTGACTAAATGCCTAATTGGCGATGGAGTGAGCTGATCGTCGAGTGCTTCGGCGATGCGCCTTATGTTCTTCAGATCACCCTTAGTTCCAGCAGATTGCACTCCCAGAGAATGTAGATCAGCGAAGATGTAGTGGATCGTTGAATAACTCGACGATCCGCATACTGAACTTAAAGAATCGTCGGTCGATCCTTGAGGAACGTTGTCCACTTTGATTAAAAAGAGCGAGGAAAATCGGGTCGCCTAAACACATCAGCGATACGCCGACTAGTGAAGATATCCCACCGAATATTCCAGAGTCTCAGACTCATTTCTTAGATTCATAAGGCGAACCAAGTCATGCTCGCCGAAATAGTTCGACGTCTCGCCAAGAAGACTTTTGTCTCGCTATGATCCCTACTCTTGCAAAATCAACACACATTATTCAAAACACTAACACTTGGGTTGCCTCCCAAGAAGCGTCTTATTTAACGTCGTGGCACGATGTGGAAATGCTCTTAAGCATCTTCCAGGTACACCACCTCAATCAAAGAAATCTCCTGGCATTCTCCAAAGTATTATTCTAAGTGTTGCCCATTCACCTTAAATGCAGGTCCCTCTTGACCCTCAACTTCTATGGCACCATTGGTGAATACTCTTGTCACTCTAAATGGTCCTGACCATTTGGACTTGAGCTTTCCTGGAAAGAGTCTAAGTCGGGAATTGTATAGTAACACCCAGTCTCCCACTCTAAACTCCCTCTTAAGGATTTTAGCATCATACCATTTCTTTATCTTTTTCTTGTAAAGGGCTGAACTTTCATAAGCTCTGAATCTGAAATCATCCAATTAGTTTAACTGCTCCACTCTTCCCCTTGAGGTTTTTGTCCAGTCAAAATTTAAAGCTTTCAATGCCCACAACGCTTTGTGTTCCAACTCAATGGGTAGATGGAGAGATTTACCAAAAACTAGTTCCTACGGAGACATCCCAATAGGTGTTTTGTAAGTGGTCCGATATGCCCAGAGTGCGTCATCGAGCTTTCGAGACCAATCAATTATGTTGGCATTCACTATCTTGGACAAGATGCTTTTGATCTCCCTGTTTGACACTTTGACCTGGCCACTTGTTTAGGGATGATATGGGGTTGCTACTTTGTGTTTCGCCCCATACTTTCTTAATGCAGCGGAGAACCACTTGTTGCAAAAGTGGGATCCCCCATCACTAATAATCGCCCTAGGGGTGCCAAATCTTGCAAAGATGTAGCGTTTCATAAATTGGACAACGCTTTTTCCTTCATTGTTTGGAAGTGCAACAGCCTCTACCCATTTGGAAACATAATCTACAGCCACCAATATATATTTATTTCCAAACGAGCTCACAAATGGGCCCATGAAATCGATTCCCTAAAAATCAAATAGTTCCACTTCAAAAATAGGAGTAAGGGGTAACTCGTGCCTTTTAGACACTCCACCTTCCTTCTAAAACTGAGTGCATTTCTTTACAAATTCATGCGCATCCTTTTAGAGGGATGGCCAGTAAAATCCACTTTGAAGAACTTTAGCGGTTGTGCGCACACTACTTTGGTGGCCTCCAACTGGAGACTCATGACAAGCATGGAGAATTCCTTTTGCTTCTTCTTCCGGAACACACCTTCTAATGATATGATCTGCACACTCTCGAAACAAGTATGGTTCATCCCAAAAATACTTTTTAATGTCGAACATGAACCTCTTTTGTTGGTAGAAGTCTAGCTCATCCGGCATTAGTCCGCACACAATGTAATTTACGAAATATGCATACCAGGGAGTTTGTTTGAGGGATATTGCAAACACTTGTTCATTGGGGAAGGAATCGTCTATGTCAACCTCAGCCTTGTCATTCTCTTTGCCTTCCAACCTCGATAAGTGGTTAGCCACCTGATTTTTGCAACCTTTTCTATATTTTACCTCATAGTTAAATTCTTGTAATAGTAGCACCCACCTTATCAACCTTGGTTTTGTATCATTATTTGCCATCAAGTAACAGAGTGTAGCATGATCAGTGTGAAAAACCACTTTAGTGCCTAAAAAGTATGCCCGGAATTTCTCAAATGCATAGACTACTGCAAGCAACTCTTGTTCAGTGATGGTATAGTTACACTGAACACTATTTAGAGTCTTGCTTGCATAATAAATTGGGTGAAAAAGTTTGTTGCATGTTTGCCCCAATACCACCCCTAATGCCATGCCACTAGCATCACACATTACTTCGAAAGATTCGGACCAATCAGGGTTGATAATGACCGGGGTGGATACCAATTGTTCTTTCAAGCATTGAAATGTTGGCATACAAGCTTCATCAAAATAGAACTCCATTTCCTTCTCCAAGAGTTTGCACAGAGGGTGTGCAATCTTTGAGAAGTCATTGATGAACCTCCGGAAGAAACCAGCATGTCCCAAGAAGTTGTGAACACCTTTCAATGAAATTGGTGGAGGTAGTTTCTCAATCACCTCAATTTTTTCCTTATCAACTTTCAATCCCTTTAGTGACACCTTGTGCCCAAGAACTATGCCTTCCTTCACCATGAAGTGGCATTTTTTCCAATTCAGAACCAGGTTTGTTTCCATGCATCTTTAAATTTTTGTCCCAAGTGTGCCAAGAATTCTTCAAACGTATCCCCTACGACTGAAAAGTCATCCATGAATACCTCCATAGAGTCTTCTACCATGTCCAAAAAATGGATAGCATGCAACACTGAAATGTTGTTGGGGTATTACATAACCCAAATGGCATTTTTTTAAATGCAAACGTTCCATAAGGGAAGGTGAAGGTGGTTTTCGTTTGGTCTTCCTGCGCAATAGAGATTTGGTTAAAATCGGAGTACCCATCTAGAAAGGAGTACCAGCCCCTCTCTAATAGTCGGTCGAGAATTTAATCCATAAAAGGCATTGGAAAGTGATACTTTTCAGTCCACGAATTTAGCTTTCGATAATCCATGCATACTCTCCACCCGATCACTGGTCTAGTCGGCATAAGCTCCCCGTGTGCATTTGGGACTACGGTGATACCTTTCTTTTTGGGTACACATTGCACCAGGCTTACCCATTTGCTATCCGCAATAGGGTAAATCATAGTTGTGTCCAACTACTTGATGATCTCCTTTTTTACCACTTCTTACATTGGTGGTTTCAATCTCCGTTGATGCTCAACACTAGGATTACACTCATTATCGAGATGAATTTTATGAGTACAAGTACCAGGAGGAATGCCCATTATATCAACGATGGTCTATCTTATAGCTTTTATATGCTTTCGGAACACTTCAAGGAGCAATTTCACCTGCCATTCAAGAAAGTCAGCTGCAATGATCACAGGTAAAGTGTTATTTTTTTCCAAGAAAGCATGTCGGAGATAAGAGGGAAGAGCTTTTAATTCCAGATTACGTGGTTCTTCTGTTGATGGCTTTGCGGGAAGACTCACTCTATTTTTTAGGTCAATATCCAACTTGATTGGAACCTTTAAATACCCTCCTAATCCTGACAAGGCGGCTACTACTTTCTCATAGCCCTGAACTTCGAATTCATCATAATTAGCAAGTGCAGCTTCAAGGGGTTCATTCATGCACATCAAATGGTTTACACTAGCTACCACCTCATCAATAACATCATCAGTAGACACCAAATGAATATCACTTGGGTGTTTCATGGATTTACAAATATTGAAGGTTACTTCATCTTTGTTCACCCGAAACTTCAATTTTCCACTTTCAACATCTACCAATGCTCTCCCGGTTGCCAAGAATGGCCTTCCCAAAATAATGGGAATTTCGGCATCTATTTCACAATCTAAATTCACAAAATCAGCCGGAAAAATGAACCGATCGACCTTTACCAAGATGTCATAATGTATCACCACAGGATGTTTGATTGAACGGTCTGCCATCAGGAGTCTCATTGTGGTTGCTTTTGATTCACCCAACCCAAGGTGTTTGTATATCGCATAGGGCATTAAGTTTATGCTTGCTCCCAAATCGCATAAAGCTTTAGGGAATTGGAGTATGCCTATGGTGCAAGGAATAGTGAATTCCCCGGGATGTTCTCTCTTTTTGATCAGTTTCTTAGTCATAATTGCACTACAACTATGGGAAACTTCAATTGTCTAAAAATCTAAACTCCTCTTCTTTGTGACCAAATCTTTCATGAACTTGGCGTATCCCAGCATTTCCAATAATGCTTCCACAAGGGGGAGGTTGATCGATAGTGTCTTGAACACTGACAAGAACTTCTTGAACTTCTCATCTTCATTTTTCTTCTTTAATCATTGGAGAAATGGTAGAGGTGTTTTGCGTAAGGGTTGTATGACTTTTGGCATTTGAACGTGTTGGTCCACTTCCTTTGGTTGTTCTTTGGCAAGGTTTTGATGAATAAGCAACTCTTGTTCCTCCATCCCCTCACCTTCTTCATGCTTTTGAGCATCTTCATTTCCCATCACATTACCTATTGCCACCTTTCCGCTACGAGTAACTACAGCCAACCCTTTATCGTCACATTCCCTTGTTATCAACTAAGCTGATAATAAACTAAGTTGTCCTTCAAGTGTCTTGATGGCGTCGGCATGAGAGTTCACTTTACTGTTTAATGATGAAAAGTCATCTTTGATCCCTTTTAACAAATCATCCGAACCTTCAACTTTGTCAAGTATGTGTGACAACAAGTCATTCACCCGAGGACTGTTTGCACTCCCTTTTGATTTTGGGCTTTCACTTGAGTGAGTATGGTTCTCCTCATAATCATCTTTCCTTCTCCAATAATCATTTTGCTCATCCCAATCTTCATAGTATCTCCTTTGTTCTTCTCCCTTATAATAGTTCCAACCTTGATTTCTGACTCACTATAGATAGCGCGGGTGGAAACTCTCCTCGTACCTCTTGGAGTTCCAACCTTGATTCTCCCCCGGCCTTGAATAACCGGAAGAAGAACCCTCCTCAACTCTAAACACTACACATGTCCCCTTCCTGTGCTCTTGTAGAACTTCCATTTGGGTTAACATTTTCTTGATTTTCTCATCCCTCTTTCTCTCTTTATCAAGTTTCTATTGCGTTAATTGAAAATGAAATGGAGAGACTTGGTCCTCTTGGGTGTACCATGCTTGGTTTATCCTAGTCATGTCATCTACAAGAAACGACGCTACCTCAAATGGTTGTAACATTATTCCTCCTCGTACCAATTGATCAGCCACTCATTTAATAACCGAATCTAGACTCCAGTAGAAATATTGAAGTAACAAATCGTTTGGTAGCCCAGGAGTTGGGCATTTAAGTAGGAGTTTCTTGAATCTCACCCACGTTTCATGGATGGGTTCCCCCTCCCGTCGCATGAAACTTTGACTTTCATCTCTAAGTTTCATCATCCTTGATGGAGGAAAGAATCTTGTGTTAAATGCTATAACCAGATCCTCCCATGAGGTGATGGAATTGTTTGGTAACTCAGCTAACCATTTATTAGCTTCTCCGGTTAAGGACAGTGGAAATAACCACAGTCGAATTGACTCTTGAGACACATTTTTGAATGAAAAAGGGCTGCAAACCTCAGTTCTCACATGCTCATGCGGGTCTTCGTGATCTAAACCTCCATATAGTCCCCTCATTTGGAGATGATGAAAAGTTGTGCTAGTGACTTCAAACATCGCATTCTCATCAGTCTGTGGGATGTAAATTTCACCAATCCCACCGGATTGAGCTGGGTTGTAGACACTATTGATGTCGTTTATACCCTCTCGATGGCCTGCTTGGCTGTCATTCATCTCTTCCTCACTCATGTTCACTTCTACGTAGTCCAACCAATACTTACACAAAGCAGCCGAAACTACTTCAATTACAGCCAATGAATTTGAGAGTGTCAAATTTTCAATCAAAGAATTCTAAGTAAGGCTACTCCCCAGTAGCGGCTCCTTTTTTATTCATAAATTAAGGCATTTCATCCAATACTAAATGCCAACATCATTCGTCAGTATAATAACCCAACTACGTGAGTTGGGGTCGATCCCACAAGGAGTAGTACTTCCTTCAAATTCAATAATAAAAGTACAGTGACAATCTCCTCAATCAAACAATTCTTGCACAATTAATATTCAAATCTCAAATTTCGGGTTTTAACTACCAATCCAAATTTACACTTCAACACAAGCAATCAAGTATTAGAATAAAGCTTAGGGAATTGATCAGCCAATTATTGAATCTCAACGTAATGGATAAACGTTACTGCTCATAATGGGATAATTTGTTGTGGGTAGGTCGAAGCATATATAAAGTAACTTTCTCTCGAACAATTACCTTTTCTATGTTGAATTCTCTCGAACTTCAACAACAATCAAAAGAGGCCCAGCTCTTTACCCTCATCAAATCCACTCTCTCAAGCTGGATACAGAGGAAGGGTCACTTGTTCACTCTCTAGAGCTAAAACCAAGGAAACCCACTACTAAGAACGCTAAGATTGCCACCTTGGTTCCACACCTCTCTCTCGAGCAAGTGCACAACATTGAAATTGATACACGAAGTAGCGCAATTCAACCTCAAAACACAGCAACAACTTAGACCCACTTCAAATTAACACCATTCTTCGCAATTAACAAACACCCACTAAGTAAATTCAACAATTGGCTCCATGATCAAAACCCCAAGAAAAGGACTTTAGTCACACATCTCAAAAATAAAAATATTAAAATCAATTATCACTCCCATAGTTGGGTACAAAATGAGAATTATAGATGAAAATCAATTGATAATCTCCTCTCTTACAAAATCTCTCTCAAAATCTTGCTAAAAATCACTCACTAAATCCTTTGGTAGTGTTTTCTCTCTAAGTAATTCCTTTCTCACTTTCTGAATGAATTTCTCTCTAGCCAAAATTAATTTAAATAAGTCTGAAGTGTCACTGCTCTGGACTACTCAGTGAAGTAAGTCGGGTATCACTGACGATTCAATGAATCGCCGATTGCTCTTCATCTCGCCTTTATTTTTCAGTTTTTCTTGGTCTGGCTATTGTAACTTTAGGCGATCTAGGTCGAGATCACCGAATGACTTCGCGAATCGCCCTTTATCCTTCCATCTTGCCCATCAGCACTTGCTTGAACCTTCTTTCGTACTTTTGGTGACCTGGTTGTCCTTCGCCGACTAGATTAGCGATATGCCGAATATGGTTGCTGCTTGCCGAATTCGCCCCCATTTTAGCTTCAACATTTTGTAAATTTAGGTGGTATTTTGGCTATCCATTTTGTAAATTTAGGTGGTATCTTGGTGATTCGCTAAATGATATTGGCAATTCGCCGAATGACATCATTAATCATCAAGTCTTCATTTCTTCATTCCTTTAGCTTTCTTTGTTCCTTTTTGCCTAATAGTGTCCATGCTTTGTCTCTAACTCTAAATACCTGAAACTCAAGGGTTTTCATCAGTTATTGAGACAAAATATGCATTTGAGAACACCAAATCTATCAAAATAAAGCCCTAAAAGAGTCCAAATCGCGAACACGTCAGTCCCCTCGTTAGGCTATTAGCATTTTGGTGAGAAACAACTTAGTCTTATTGACCAGGTTGGAAGATCACGGAAAGAGAGAAGTTCGCCAACCATGATGCTACATTTGTGACTTGTTGAGTGTAACTTCAGTGAGCACGATCGACCTCACCCAAAGGGATCGACGAATCACCAGTTAGGAAGCTTATTGCTGAAATTGATAGTGTCTCTTCTAGGGCATCGCTTCCAATTAGACAGGCTGAGACGGGCTCACTAAACAAAATTGGTGAGTCGCTTAAGAGGTATTATATCGCCTAAATTGACAGAACCTAGAACCATGATAGGCTCACCTAATGTACTTGGTGAGTCACCAAATTGCATGGCAGCACGCCGATAATGCCGAAATGGTAGGGCTTTCTTCCCACCTACACAAACAACACACATTATTGAAAAACACTAACACATGGGTTGCCTCCCATGAATCACCTAAGTTAATATTGTGGTACGACGTGGACATGCCCCTAGACATCATCCAAATACACCACTTTAACCCCTCTCACCTCATGACCTCTCCAAAATAAAATTTCAAACATTGAATATTAACCTTGAACTTGGAGTCATCTACATTAACAATTTCAATAGATCCATTCCCAAACACTTGAGTTACCTTAAATGGATCAGACCACTTTGATTTTAACTTTCCTGGAAAGACCTTCAACAGGGAATTTAATAACAACACTTTCTCACCTACCTGAAACTCTTGGTGTAGGATTTTAGCATCATTCCAATGCTTTACCTTTTCCTTGTAAAGGAATGAACTTTCATATGCCTTTAGCTAGAATTCCTCCAACTCAAGTATTTGATCCAAACGATTATGTGAAGCACTATCCCAATTGAGATTTACAGTTTTTAACGCCCATAAGGCCTTGTGTTCTAATTCTATTGGCAAATGACAAGCTTTGCCAAAGACCAACTGATAGGGGAACATCTCGATAGGCAATTTAAAAGTATTCTGATAAGCTCAAAGGGCATCATCAAGACTCTTTGACCAGTTGGTTCTATTTGCATTCATTTTTTTCACAAAATGTTATTGATCTCTCAGTTAGACACTTCAACTTGTCCACTTGATTGAGGATGATCTGGCGTAGCAACTTTATATTTCACCCCATATTTAGACAAAAGAGATTCAAACTACTTGTTGTAGAAATGGGATCCCCCATCACTGATTATTGCCTGAGGGGTGCCAAACCTTGTAAAAATATACCTTTTGAGGAATTGCACTACACTTCTCCCTTCACTATTAGTTAAAGCCACCGCTTCTACCCACTTTGATACATAGTCCACAGTCACCAAAATGTATTTGTTACCAAAAGAACTCACAAAAGGCCCCATGAAATATGTCCCCCATACATCAAAAAGCTCAACATCAAGAATTGATGAAAGAGGGAATTCATGACGATAAGAAATACCCCCTTGCATTTGGCATTTAATGCATATTTTAGAAAAATCATTTGCATCGCGATTTAGATTGGACCGGTCGTATTCACATTACAACACTATAGAGGTTGTCTGAATTCCACCATGGTATCTACCCACTAGTCATGCATGACAAGC